GTACCGCCTTCGACTTCTACGCAATTTCGTTCGAATAATCCAGATTACCATTATCACTCACGTTTGCCGGAAATCGAGTTGCCCAAGTTTGACGGAGTGCAGTCTAATTGGTTATCCTTTAAGGATCTATTTAGTTCAATTGTTATAAAACGCCCTTCATTGACCTCTGTCGAGAAATTACAGTATTTAAAAACGAGATTGTCCGGATCAGCTGCTTTATTACTTAAAAATACTACGCTCATCTCTGACAATTTTCAAAAGGCCTGGGATGCCTTAATTGCGTTTTACGAAAACACTAGATTACTTGTTAACGAGGCTCTTCAAGCCTTATTTTCTTTAAAACGCATGACGAAAGAATCACATAAGGAAATGGAAATGCTTTATACTAATCTCACTCAGATATATCGCACTCTGGAAACTTTACAACGCCCTGTAGAAACTTGGGATGATGTATTTGTTTTCACTGCCGTTCAACGTCTGGATTCGGAATCTGTAAAGGCTTGGGAGAATCATTTAGGATCGAATAAACAGCCCCCTACTTGGGAGCAATTCAAGGACTTCTTGTTTAATCGTTTGCATTCTTTACAAGCATTTGAAAAATGCACACTGGGAAAATCAGTTCCATCTGCCAAATCACATTTTTCGGGGAAACCAAAGGACGATAAAGCGGGTAAGAAGAATTCGTGCGTGATTTGTTCGGCGAAACACTACGTAGCCCACTGCCCTCAGTACACCGCTAAAACTATTGAACAACGTCTAGCAATTATCGCGAAGCATAAGTTATGTTTCAATTGCCTCGGTTTACACAGAGCATCGGCATGTCGCGTAACCACGCGATGTTTGAAGTGTGGAAGCAAACACCACACCACCATTCACAAATTCAAAGGGAAACAGAATTCGGATCAAGCTACGGCCAAGGCCGAACCACAGGCGGATTCATCTTCTACTTCTACAAAGGAACAGGCGTCACAGTCTACTTCTACCAATACGAATGCAAAGGCTGTGAATTCCACTTCGGTCTCACAATTAACATCTGTATTACTAGCCACGGCGCAGATCATAATCGAGGGCCCCAACGGGGAATTTACTAAGGCTCGTGCGTTAATAGATCAAGGATCCGAGATATCTTTAATAACGGAAAGAATTGTACAACGGTTAAACCTACCGAGAAGACATTCGTTTATTCCTTTGATTGGAATAGGAGCTGAGAAAACCCGTAAAACAAGAGGAATTGTGAATTTCAAGTTTAAGCCACATTTCAACAGCGAGTACGAAGGGTCTATTTGTGCTCACATCTTACCAAAACTGACAGCTTCGTTACCTTCTTTGCGTTGTGAAGAATCAGCATGGGAGCATCTGAAAAATTTACAATTTGCAGACCCTAAATTTACAGTTCCAGGTTCTATAGACGTAATTCTGGGAGCAGACATTTATAGTAATCTCATTGAAGAAGGAATTGTTAAGGGAGCTGTGGATACTCCACTCGCACAATGCACAAAATTAGGATGGATTATTTCTGGTCCTGCAGGAAATGCTCCTACCTCTTCCTTTACTCAAAGTCTCCACGTCTCCATTAATCGGGAGCTACATGATTTAATTCAACGATTTTGGGAGATGGAAACGGTCCCTTCCTACAATGATTCGTCATTAACTGCTGAGGATCAGCAATGCGAATTGCACTTTCAATCTACGCATACTAGAGATGCCAGTGGACGGTATCAAGTTCGAATGCCTTTTAAACAACCCGGCCAATAAATTAGGAGATTCTCGTATGAAAGCCGTTCAGGTGCTTAATAGTCTGTCAAAACGATTAATTTCAGATTCTAGGTATGCGGAAGCTTATCAGGGGTTTATGGACGAATTCGAAAGGTTGCAACACATGACGCTAGTTCCAGAATCCGATCCTGAACCTCAATTAGTATACTATTTACCACATCACGGAGTCTTACGGGACAACGATCTTAATAGAATCAGAGTAGTTTTTAATGGCTCAAGCCCTACTACCACGGGATGTTCTCTGAATGATCTGCTACATACAGGAGCTAAACTTCAAATTAATGTATTCGATGTTCTGGTTTGGTGGCGACGATTTCCTTATGTCTTTTCGTTCGATATGGTAAAAATGTTTCGTCAAATTCTGATACATCCCGAAGATCGGGACTTTCAACGAATTTTGTGGATTCTTCGATCAAAAGGAATCATTACCATTAGAACTTTTAGACTGAACACTGT